TCGATATTTAAAAAGAACGCGCAAAATTCGCGTATTTTCTTGAAACTTCAACTTTTCTTGAGAAAACTTCCGAGATTTTCCAAGGAAAGTTTTACCTCACAAAAGCGCCACTTAGTGCTCTATCCAGTGGTATTGAAATAAGCGCTCCAGCTTAATTTTCTCCTGAGAAATGGTCAAAAATCTGGCGTAAAACATAAAACATTGGCCTGATCTTGCAACTAAATGTCTGATTTTCAAATTTTGCTTTTTGTGTGAAAAATCCAACAATTGTTTCAGCCGCGATTTGATAGCTAAATCGGGTTTCCAATTCTCTATCTAATGATACCAAAATAGTATCTGCACCTCAAATGGTTGTTGAGAAACGACGAAAAAGGCTGCGTCATTTTTGTGTCGATATTAAAAAATTCCCAAAATTCACAATTTTTGAAACTTTGGCGTTTTTGAGAAAACTGCCAAAGATTTTCCAAGCGAAACTCTACTTTATAAAAGGGCCATTTAGTGCTTTATCCAGAAGTATAGAAATAAGCGCTACTGATATATTTTCTTTCGAGAAATGATAAAAATTCTGGTGTAAAACATAAAGTTTTATGTCGAAGTCGGTTCTCGATCCAGTTCTCTATCCAATGATACAAAAACGGCCTCTGTAGCTCAACTGGTTTTTAAGAAACGACGAAAAAACGCACAAAATTAACACTTTTTTAGACTTTTTGGAGAAAATTGGCAATATTTTCAAGCGACGCCTGGCGGCATAAAAGCATCATTTAGTGCTCTATTCAGTAGTGTACAAATAAGTGCCTCGGTTCAACTTTTTCCTGAGAAATGAGGAAAAATGCGACGTAAAACATGCAAATTTGGACCTTTGCGCCCAAAATGTGTGTTGTTGAAATTTCGAATTTCGTATGAAAACTTCCAATACTCCATTCTCTATTACAGAGCTCAAAAAGAACTCGAATTAAAAATTGCTATTTAAAAAAAAGTCATTGTTGCAACACTTATGCCGGATAGGTCACATTGACCACGCCCTTATATTTCTACTGGAAGGCTCAACAAGAAGTACTTCCACATAACTGAACGTAATCTCAAAGCTTTCGAGCGATTTATCGGGGTGGATTAAGGCAATATTTCCCAGTTGCTTGCGGCTTTGCCGAATCCATCCAGGTCGAAATCACAACCGTTTGTGCCTTATAGCGAGCGCCCACCCTGTATATTTAGCTGAATTTCCACCAGGGGTTGATTAATCATTGGGAAAATACGCCCTAAGCTGACAATAACGATCACAAAAACACAGCTTCATCTGAAAAGTATGGTACTTTGCAATTTGGTTCAAATCCATCCAATATATCAAATCCAATCAAATAAAAAAAAACAACATCTAAATTACGGTATGGCAACACCCAACATGCTTGATGGTTTTTATTCTTGTTCATGTGCCAGATGATGTGAACAATTTTACACAATCACACAATTTACTCTACCGCACGTTCACATTCTACCTACTAAATGGTTAGCGCTACGGTTGCCGGTATTGTTTGGCCAAATTGTCATAAAATTCTTAGGGATTTTTCCCTAAAGTGGCGTCTTTACTAAAAACTCAGTCAAAAAAAAAATTAAATATTAAGAACAGCGAAGATGGAATGAGTAAACTTTGAACTAACTCAATAGGCTGACAGATTGAAGGGCTTTTGATGAATTTTAATAATTTTAATGGGAAAACAATCGCTCATCTTTTAAGTGGTTAGAGTGGATTGTCTCCAAGCAGAGCTGCTAAATTAATTGTCTTTGGAAGCACGAAATGGGGTTAATGAGGCTGGTCTGAAATAGCAAAGACGTCGACCCAAACTAGGTCAGTGCGAGGCTAATTTTACCGCTTTAACTGCTGAAGGCCGTAGGGGACCAACAAAAAAAATCATCCTCGCTTCAAAAAGCGGCTAGCAAAATGCCCTTTTCCGCCTCTTGAAAGTTTATACAAACGACTAGAGCAGGTGCTTTAGAACACACTGGCACTAATGTTCTAAAGCATATCGCGATTTTATTTCAGCCAGACAATACGAACAACCGTTTGATGGTCACTACGAGAATAAGCACCTGTTTTTGTGCCATCGCCTGCATCTGTTGGAACATGGCGCGCTCTTCCTCTTTACCTAGAACAGAGGCGAAATCACGCGGAATTAGCCCTAAACGGAAACTTTGAGCCCCTTTGCAGAGGCTTTCCACTAGGCGCCACCAAGAACCTCACACATGGAATTTTGCCACAAAAAACACTAATAGTGTGAATGAGTTGAATGGTTCAGATGGTGTGGAGGTTCTGGGGCTTAAAACACTGATGATGGACGATGAATTGATGCTGTAACTATGTAAAAGTTGAGAACTCCGGCGCTACGCTGATGAACCGAACAACTTTTTTCCTGTTCAAACTTTGAGCGCCTTCAAGGGACACTAATCAGATTGGATTTTTTTAAACTAACGGAACTATGAAACTAGTGGGTTTTTCCGGTTTTTAGGCCGTCGGAAAATGGAATTTCTTCCTAACGTTTCGCTAGCACGAGTGGCTTGCATCTTCAGAAGTGGTTTGCTTGAACGCTTACACTGTCGTCAGAACTAGCTTTCGGAAAAAATTCCATTTTACAACGGCCTAAAAACCCGAAAAACCCATTAGTTTCAAAGAATTGCCTCGAAAGTCTATTTCTTTTGGTAACGGAATTATGCTTGTGCTTTTATTTAAATGTCGAATTTTATTGCTTCTCAACTATTTCCAAACGTTTGAGACATTTTCGGTTCAAGCGGAAGAAATTTGAGAAAATAGTTGATAGCTGGAGATAAAATTGACTGTTAATTATTTGGGATTTGCCAGAAAACGCAACTGTGAATTAATAGTTTCAGCATAATTTAAGGAGGTATGACACACACCTAAAAAAATATTCTTTAATCTTTGGAAAATTCAGTCGAAAGTGAATATATGGAATGTAATTTGACTCATTTAGCATAAAATGAGATGCAACCCATTTGCATAACACTTAAAAAAAATAATAATAAATTTACATTTTGCCCATAATTTACTGAGATACGACACACCAATCATTTTAATGAAAATTTAGTTCTTTAATGCTGATGTTCAGACGCAATGGCAGCTATTAGCGTAAAAAACTAATTGAGAAGTTGAGTGCAAAAACACAGCGAAAACGGATGAAAATTATATGGATGACAATCACATTTTTTTTCGTAAAATAGCGAATTTAATTACGGTTTTTCCAACTTTTGGTTGATGATTGGCTGATCTCCACTGAGAACAATTCCACATAACGCTTTTTTGCAATCTCAACGGTTCCAGGTTCTAAGCTGCAAGAACTGTGTTTTTCTCAATTTTTAGCAGTGGATTTATTAATGAAAATAACCTTTAGAATCCAAGTCTCAAGACTTGCTAATCTCAGGCACCTCTAGCAGTTGCCGGCATCGTAAAATGCACGGGCGAAATAAAGAGTGTTCATTTCAGACCCAATCCGGCTGATGAGAGCTAATAGGCTCGAAACCGGCCCTGAAGGTGCCTGATATTGGCAACTTTTCCATTTTTTTTTTGGCTGAAATCGTTTTTCTTTCTATATTTGCTGTGAAAGAAACACACTGATTTGAGATGGATTGTGATGGGTGATGGTGCCAGATGAAAGCGTTTATTTAGCAGTTTAGCAGACTAAACGGACTCACCCATTCCTTTATTTTGGAGCATTTCCAGGAGCTTTTTAATGCTTTCATCCCGCGCTTGTAACGTTTGCTTTTGAGTTTCGATTCGTAGTTCGAGTTCCTAAAAATAACATTGAAATTATTGTGAAGAATCATTGAAAAAATTCATGTGGAAGCACAACTATCGATCGATAGACACACGTTCATGCGAAGCAAAAGCGCGAATTAGCCTGATATCTTGAGGTCTAAAATACGATGGAAAAGCCTTTGAATATACCAAAATACGGCAAATGTTGTTGAGTACACGTTTGAATGATTTTAAGCCAGAACTAATCATCCCGTTACCTGGCTCGAATGTCTTAAGATCGTATTTTCCCGATGCAGTTGCTCATTTTCCTCGTATAGGGCTTCCTGTTTTCCGATATTTTAAAAGGAAAAATTCAGTGATAAGTTGGAGAGAGCGAGTTCTTCCATGTGGCTTGCATAGCAACAAATTCACATATTTCCATCTCCTTTATAATCCAATATTTACGAAATTCGGTTGTTTATTTATTCGCGCTCGTAATATTGCTAATGCATGTTCATTTTGTATACAAAAGCTATCACATTGTGGGAAAAATACATTCATTACTTAGATAAAAGCTACGCAAATTTTATTCGGTTGGTTTTTCAGAGCTTCATCGAATCAGCCAATTTTCTTCGAAAATTTACGCCTGTTTTGAGGCTTAGAGATGGAAACCTCGTCATCTAGCACCAGCATGCTTAGTGTTTTATTGGGTCGCGGTCAGAAGGAATTTGCTCACAACGTTTCGCTAGCACAACCATCCTCAAAGCTGCGGTCGCCTCTGAAGACGCTTTTGATGCGTGCTAGTGAAACGTTAGTTGAGTTTTGCTATTTTCTATTGTTCATGCTGGCGCCATTTGAGGAACCAGAACCCGATGAATATAGGAGAAGTCTGGTACCTTAATTGTGTCCCGCAAAATTGCAATTTCTCTTTGCAGATGTTCGTTTTCCTGGTACATGACCTCCATTTGCTGCTGCACCTCCACACTGGGGCCGCGCATTCTCATCCGCAACTCTTCTTCGAGTTGTCGCACCAACATGGCTTGTTTCTGAAAAACAGAAAGTTTGAAACTTTGCCTGAAAGGTTAGTGGATTGTGCAAGTTTTATAAAGTTTTATGTCCAAAAACTGTATCGATTTCTGCTGTTCAAATAATCTTAATCATCGATCAAAAACTTTAAGAATTGAAGCTCATATTTGCTCTGCTTTGAGTCGATTGCGACCCAAACAGACTTGCATAGTTTGGTGATACGTTCCTTTATGTGAAAGATTAATCAATTTAGGCGCGATGGTCAAAATGTGTGTCTGGAACATTGGCCAGATGTTATTCCACTTCAGTCTGCAGGCATTATGGAATTCCTCACAACGAGTTGTTAATGGTAGAACCAACAACTTTATTCACGAGTCTGAACTTAGACCTAGTGAGGCTTTTATGGGCCATGAAGGGGAATTAATTTTGCTGCTGGAAAGTCATATAAAGGCGAAATAATTCGATTTAAAATGAGTTCTTGGCTTTGTTAGAAAAAGATGTTAAAAATAATTAATTTGTAAGTTAAATGTGTGCGTCCATCAACAGAAATTCGTTGGCTGAATACAAACCACATCCAAGGTTCCATATTTTTAGCCAACAACAGCTACGGTCAGTGTTATTCGTCCGAAAATTATGAACTCGCAGAGCGACTAATAATACACAATTTTATATTAGGACTATCTTCAAAACTGAAAATACAATTAGAAGTGAAATTTTAGTAACAAAACCTCATGATATGTCTCTACTAATTGGAATTTTCTCTTACAGCTTGAGCCTAAGCGTGTCGCAGGATACCCTCTAGGTGATAGTTCTTGATGACTTTTTGATAAATAATTCGTTCTTATTGCGAAATAGGAGCACTATTTATCAATCTGT